TTTCCGTCAAAACCCTGTCGTGTTTCACATTTTATTCTAAAATATCGCCAAAGAGAATAAACTAAGTATATGTACATGTACGTATAACGTCCGCAAAGTTTAAATGCACTGAACACATCTTTTCTACATTCTTTTCACACCAACTTTACCAAAACATCGCACTGATTCATGAAACCAAGATTTACATTTTTAGATTGAAAGACAATGGGATGACAGATGCCATGTCGTCAAAATAATTTTTTGACACACTTATATGTTTTCTTTTTTATCTCACATACCAGGTATGGTTCTTTGACTTGTTTTTACTATTTGAGTAATTTTTCCTTTGGGTTTAGCTTTTAATGCATGCTTAAACCAGTTGCAGGTTGACGTAGTGACGTTTTTCCTGCATGTATCACAACAGGACAACCATTTACGTCATATTGGAACTTACAAACATCATCTATCGAGATATGATCTGAAATGTCACTTTAACATATTCCAAATCAAGAAGCCGTTCCTTATTCTACTCGAGTCTACGTTATCAATTGAAACATGATATTGATGTCGAGTCCAGTCCATTAAGGATGACGTATAGTTCAATCATAGAAATCATCTGCACTGGTGTAGAGACGTTTTTCTTGACACCATTATCTGCGGAGCACTTCGCAGATGACCCCCCCCCCCTCTCCCTCTCCAAGTTCCTATCACAATAACCCTTTTCCATGGCAACTGGAAGTGTTTTTATTACTATGCTTTGGTTTATTCTGAGATTTTTGTTTTAGTCGCTAAAATTTCCGCTTTAGAGAAACAAATTTCTTTCGTGTTAGACTCGATTCTTTTTCGGATTTCTGATTTCGCATCTCCTAACTTTCGCTATCAAACTTGTTTCTTCTGATGTTTTGTTTTTCTTTGAAACTCTTGAAGTCTATATATTTTTAGTGATCTACCCCCGGTTTTATTTTTCGAAGAGGGGAAAAATCATCTTGCTTTTGTTGCCTCTATCGTCGCGTGCGTATCTAGTGCTTTATGTTTCTATAATGCTCGTTCAATTGGCGATACTTTTCAATGAGGAACGTAATTTTATGCACCGCATGTCTTGATTTTTTTATTTTTTTATTCTCGAGCATTGCTTACTTTTTGTTTTTCTTTGTATGTTTTGCAAAGAATTGCGTTTCACGAAGGGATACTGAATATTGTACATCAGATCGTAATAATGTATCGAGTAGTAGATCCGAGATCGTAATTAAAAAATAATAAGCAAATAAACATCGTTGAAAAGCTACAAAATTTTTCATATTACAAATTAGAGATGCCTGTTTATGCTGTTCACCATTGAGAATGATGCATTCATTGAAAGGGAAACTGATTCCAAACGTTAAAGGCCCCATGTAAAGTTTAAACCACTTTGGCTTAAATTGTAGTCTTACCCAATGTTATCAAAGTGTGATATGTGAAACTTTTTTTTTAAATTTCAAAACGTGGTTTTTGATAGACTTTTTGTTCCAAAATTTGTGAATTTATTTAAAACCAACTTTTAGAGGTCACTCATATCTTGTAATTAGCCACAATTCACACCAATGCATAGCATTCATCCTCCCATGTTTTTTGCCGAAAAAATTAAGAAAATCGGTTCATAAATAAGCGAGAAATGAACTTATCAGTGCATGAAAATGGTTCTGAGAAAAATGCATTTCAAAATTTTAGTTCTCATAGAAACCAATGGTACAATGATATCTAAAACATAATTTATTCTTCCTTTTAACCTGGTTAGACAATCAACATTGGTTTTTTATGAAAGTCTAACATATTTAGAAAAGATTGACATCGAAAAAAAAATTACAATTTTTTTTCAAAAGTTTTTGGTACCTTAGTGACATCACTAATGTTTCAAAATATTTTTGATATGTTAAAACATTGAAGTGGCCCATTAAATATGGCATTTTATTATTGAAATAGTGTGTCCTTTGTTCAACCTTTGCATTGGTGTTAAAAAGATAATCTTTTTTGAAATGCATTAAGAAATATTTGATGATTAAGAAATTTCAACTTTTTTGGAAAAATGGCGGAAAATTTGAATATTTCAGAAATGAAATGCTCATAACTTTTTTGGAAAATTTTTTTTTTGTTCAAAAATCTCTAAAATCACTTTTTAAGTAATGACAAATAGTAAATGAATGATAAAAAAATATTTTCAAACTTTAGACGGGGACTTTAATAGACTTTATGATTGCAGTCAGCAATCCCCGGGAATGCACTGAACGAAACACTATTTACAGAGGTTGACACATTTTTGGCTGTAATGGTCTTCGTAGTGATTTTTGTAATAATTTTTTTTCGGTAAATTATGCTTATGGAAGTTCCAAATAACTTGACATCTGCTTGCATGTAACGTATTTTTGTAAAGACGTATAAAATGGAAAAGGTACGCTGAACAAAGAGAAAACTATTTAGCTGTTATCTTTTCAATGTCTATCAATTGATCGTTATGCGTAAATTACCGTAAAACTGTTATAAATGTGTTATCAGAGTATTGGTAATCATATAAAATCAAATTAATCCATCTGTGATTTATACAAATGACTAATTTACTGCTTTGAGTTCAATGGTATAACCATGTCGATTTTCACGCATGTCGATTGTCACAGTTTCACACCATATTCGCTCATAGATGGGGTCGTGCTGGTTATTTCGTAAAATCTTTTCGTTAAAATAGAGTGAATATAATGTTTTCTTGAATAGTGTCCATCTTTACACAAGAATGCTGCCCATGTTTGAATTACATCTTGGTCGTTTTTCACAAGAAAAATGGTGAATTTTCAGAATTTTTCAGATAATGCTCATTATAATTCAATCACAATTATAATCACGATTTGGAATACGATGGTCTGATAAACTGAATCAAGGACTTGCTAATACCACATATAACCTATTGTTCTCGGATTCCCCTAATGCCCCGTGGGTGTGTTTTAACGACCATGTCGATTTTCACAGAATAAATTTTACATTTACTTTATTGAGTCTATATATTCGGTAATAGGTGGAGATCAAATCCGGTGCTCTCATCACACTCTGAATGAATGTTCTCTATGCCAGCATAATCAAAATTAAAAGATGCGACCATTTATTATTGAGATATTTGTTTTCAAAAGCGTGTTGTCCTGTTACATTGACAATTTCACCGAAATTCACAATTTTGGAGCCAGATATCAACGCTACTTACAATCGAAACGATCAAAAAGTATGCTGACGTACTTCAGATAAAGGCATTCTATTTTAGAATACATAAAATGTTGAGCAAAAATACGTTTTGTTTCAGCTATGTTCAATTACATGAAAAATGCCTATTTTTAACACTTATTTGTTTTCACTGATTAAACAATACAGGTACCGTACTGGTGTATGTTATTTGATTGTATAAGAATTGATATATTCAATGTACTAAGATGTCGATTCAGTAATCATAGTAATCTTTTAGTACGTTCGTTGAATTGACGTAATTGACAATGAATTCCGTATCGCGTTCTCATTGGTTAGTTTGTGAGCCACATACCACAGTTGAATCTGGCATACACAGCAAGTGAATATGTCATATTTGTTGCGGAATATGACATATATTTGTATCATGTATACCGCGTATCATATATTGCAAAGTGGAATGATTCTGTTATGCCTCAGCCGCATTTATCTACGGTTTGAATACGGCGGTCGTTCCTTACGAAATCGAGAAATACATGCGACAGCCACAGTTATCCACAGGTTTATTATCTCAATACACCATACAGCAGCTCCCAACAGCGACAACTATGTCACTTGGGAATGCAGCGACGGGCCTACAATTGCCATTGACCGTATTCGATTAATTTCAAAATTTCCCTGTTCTACATGCATATCGCCTATGCCAGCTTAATTCATATGAGGATTATGTTTTATATTTCAGAACATGGAATACTTCCCACTTCCAATCTAGCGTTGCAAAAACCGACGTATCAATCTAGCACTCGTGACGTCAACACTAATGGCCCTGAAAAAGCCGTAGATGGTAATACGGACGGTGACTTCTCCAAAAACTCGTGTACACATTCGGAAACTGGCGAACTTCATCCGTGGTGGATTGTAGACCTTGGAAAGTCGTATCATCTACATGAAATAGTAATTTGGAACCGTGACGACTGGGGTAAGACTGATGTTCCTCAATTCCTTTTAGAATGTATGTCTCTTTAGCAACTCTGACATCATTTGGTCCATTCCAATATCCCAAGTGGTGTCAGAAGTGATTTTTTTGATTTTCTACATGAAATAAAATGACTTATGATTGTTTAATATTTACACTTACACAGGTGAACGACTGCATGATTTCTCCATTGCTGTTGCCTGTGAATTTGATGGAATGAACCCGAACAACACAAACTGGAAAATGCAGCATCTGCACGATGGGCCGGTAGATAGCGATCCTAAACTCATTTCACTCTCTCATTCTCCCATTACTCGATTTATAAAGATAGAAAATGGTCACATTGAATCTCCCAACGGCCCCGGCTATGACATCTTGACTTTGTGTGAAGTGGAAGTGTTTGGAACTCCAGACAATGAATGTACATGCGAATCGTAAACATTGCTAGTTCCACCTCTATGGCACGACATACATTACTTGCCTGGGGACGTCAGCAGCTTTTTGAGTACATAAGCACATTTCTAGACTTTCTTGAAACTGGAAAACGTACATTTCAAAGTAATATATCATCCTATTTGATATAGGTGTTGCCTCGACTCTTATACCTCATTTCTTGATCCAGTCACGACTTTGTACATAAGGGTCCACTCGAGAAATAAACAAAATTCGTTAATGTTTCCCAGGTTGGATTTTTACTCATTTTAAGTACAATTGGAATTATAGTTCATTTGAAATATAGGATCAAATCCTATTATATGCTAAGGGCTGAGAACATGCCCCCTTGTGACGTCACATACTCTTTCGGATCACCCCCCCCCCTCCCCATCCCACAGTCGGAATAAGCAACTCGTGTATATAGCTTCAATTTATTCAATATATAACAATCGAATGTACAAATAAAGTGAACACTCATGCAGACATTGTAACAGCTTAGATAATGCTCCGTTTTCTTCTGTTTAGTTTCCATCAGAGTCCTCAGTAACAGCTATAAAATATAAATTGTACCACAGTTTAATACGTGTATACATTTTGTAATCGGTTTTTGTGAGAGGGGGTGTGGGAAAGTGTTTCTGTGTGTGGTATATCGGTTTTCATGGCTGTAGCTAATTGTTTGCCTTGGACTGGACGTTTTTGCTTTGTTGAAATTAGGTTGATCTTCTGCCTTCTTTACTTCAATTTAAAATGACTAGAAAGAAAAACTTAATTGCTGAAATATAATTGTATACTGTGACCTCATCTACCTTTCCATCCATACATTTTCCTAAACCGAAATAGAGGTAACACACATTGGCAGCCACAACCCACCACCACTGGCCATAAGTTAGATGCATACATATGCTATCAATATGTATAGTTATTATTGAATTCTCATTTTGTCACTAAAACATCTTCATACACTTGTTAAAGTGTCAGTTGATGTATAATTTATGTATCATAGTTTGACAATAAAGTATGTAACTAACTAAAAAAAACTAACCCAGTAGCACTTGTGACTATTTAAGAAAAATGTAGCAAGTAGATGGAACTCAAAAAAACCAACCAGTTCTAATAAAGTAAACAACTTGGATACAATACCCCCCTACCACTGGACAAAGAGACAAGGTACAGATGAAAATACGTGTGTCAAATAACCCCCATCACCAAGATACAGATAACGACATAGATTATCAAGATTTCAATATAAACCGGCTTAACATCTTTTTGTTTTGTATTCTATTTATTGAAAAATACTCATCATGATAAACCATGACATCTCATTTCTTCTCAGGTGAAACAGAAAGATGCTATGAGTATCAGAATAAAAAATACTTAGCAATACCTGGCTCCATAATAGCTTCCCCAATACATCCGCAGAATTCTATTGAGAACTCCATGCCTGGATGACAAACGAGTCTTCCACTTTTCATTACATAAGCAGTTGAATCTGCTTCGTCAACCGTGTATAACAGGCCTTTACGACAACATTGTGCTGGAAGAATACACAAAAAACTGCACCATCCACTCCAAGCAGAACCAGCTTAACAAACACCAGCGTATATGTAACAAGTGCGATATTATTAAAGCCAGATTAACAATGGAAACACGTTTTAACAGAGCTACAGTAAATACACTCTACTATACCTTGCATTTGGTGTTCATGAGCAACCCATTTGGTTTATTAGTAATGATTGTGTATTTGTTTTTATTTGTCTATTCCTTTTGAATGGTTTATCGGATGACGTTAGATGTTAATAAGGTACTTTCAAAAATATACTAAACAATACAATTGGACAAACAGAGTATCTTATGCATCTCTAGGGGTTAGGTATAGTAGAGTGAGATAGCAAGGTTAATACTCACTGTCAGAGTTATCATCTTCTGTACAATCAGTGGGCGCCACGTGTGGAGGAACTGAAATTGTGTGATATTAAGATAAGAAGTGGACTATTATAACGCCAAAAGTTGCATTAGTTTTGATCACTCTGGGATGAGATAATTGTACAATGTAGAAATAGCGATTTTATAATGTCACACAACCGGATATAGTTGCTATGGTTGTGGCTCACTAACCGACAAACTTTCCTTATAAACTTAAAGATACAGTAGTATAGTCTATGTATGCCTCTTTCCGCGACACGAACAAAATCTACGGAAATTAACCGCGAAGTCGGTATTTCAGGAAGTAGAATAAAAATTCCTACTCCCTCCCTTTTATACGCTGTCCAATACTAAATATGTAGAAAGCGCTGACACTTAGTGGATGGGATTTTGCAAAAGTACGGTAGCTATTTCAGCCCTGCTCAATGTCATTTTTTATATTATTCCGGTAGAGTACAATCATGGCGTTCAACCCAAACACATGCATGACGGAGCGTTTCACTTAATATCTAAGAACGAGTGCCAAAGGGAAAGGATCAAACGTTGTAATGGAACTTAGCAAGAAAAAGCAAACTCTAAGTGCATAACAGTCAAGAAAAACAAACCCCATATATCCCAAAACAGTGATCTAACGTGAAAAGAAACAATGTCTGATACCCCCTCCCCCACCATTCAAAAACCGATATCACAATCCAAGACTAGAACACCAAGGGCTTTTCATATATAGTGAAGTCATTACAATACATGTTGAAAAAAATTAGAAATTGATAGCCAATACTCATAACATCAAAAATAGTTGTAGATACAAGTACTCATAAAAGATAGAGCATTCAGTCTCAAATGATGTGAGATAGATAAAATCCAGTCTCCAAGTCCATAGGCGTTTCAAAGGGTCAACATCCATTCACAAAAGCCGTCACCATAATCCATAAAACACAATAATTCACAATGGTCATCAGGAGAAAACTGTGGCTGGTTTCGATCCCTATTTCTCAACCATTAATGTCATAACCTCAAAAGGTACCAAGTGAAAACATTGTGAGTTCCATAAAACACAATAATTTACAATGGTCATCAGGAACAAAGAAAGGCTCCGTCGGAGGAAGAAAAATGGCGGGATGGAATGATGAGCTGCCTGACGATTTCCCAAATTATCACGTCTGGTGATCGCCTTTTTTAAAAGATCTTATGTCTTAGAATCCCATCAGTTCAAAAAAAATCCGAGAAGACCTAACATATTTCCCCGTGTACTGCACGTATTCATTTAGCAACTCAATCGTAAACTTTCTCTTGAATAAATAAATCTTCCAGATTTGTTGAATTTTTTCTTGCGAAAGTCAGCTACTCCGTTCATTTCTTACGACCACCGGGCGTGATAATGGGATTAAGAAGTACAGGTATGTGCTACTTAATTTCGAGTATAGCATTCGATGGATGTGATATTCACGTATAGAAGTACTGTTGACGTTTGCAGAAAATGAATATAGTTATCAACAATTCATAAACGTATTTGTCACAAGTTGAATTCGTAATTTGTGATCAATTCGTCAACTTCAGATTCGTTCGATCTAGACTACGGAGCTTTGATTAAGCAAATAAAAGTTTACCACCAGAAGTTGAATAAATAAGATCTTTGCTCGGGGTATTGTCCATCCATAACGTATGATATGTAAGAGAAACGAGTGAAACATGTACTTACGGTCATGGTGGGATGTTCATTAGCCGCCATTTTATTTCGTTTCGCAGCGTTTCCACGTGAATGAAACGCTCTGTCGTGCATGTAAGAGCGTTTGGGTTGGACACCGTGACAGTGGAGAGGTTAAGCAAATACGGTTTTTCAAAACGTATACGTAAACGCAAAGTACATTGAATCAACATAGGATTGTATCGCTTTAGTCTACCTCAGATACCCGTTCAATTTCAAAGTTGCGTGTTTAGAACGGGAGATTTTAAATTTCCACGTTGCTATCAACGGGAATCATTATACTCATGTCTGTTGAATACTATCCTTGGAATTTTGATTTCGATGCAAAGTATAATTCTTTCTGAAGAAGATGATGTATGTAACGCATGATTTAACTCCAATAATCTTACGAAACGAGCTCGTTTAAAATATGTATTAGAAAACCAGCTATTGAACTTCATCAATGGCATACTATGTAATCATTACAAGCTATGGTGTAGTCTAAACAAACACTAGAGCTGAACGGCTATTTATGTGTGAACTCTACATGTATTTGTATAGGGCCGATTGATACGTTTAAGTTGCGTTTTGGATTTTATACGGTAGCTTAACCTCTCCAGTATCGCATTAAAACCGCGTGGTGAGTGGATGTAATACACTCCTCAAAAAGTTAAGGACCAGTTGTTTTCCTCATAGGTTTATATTTAACCCCAATATTTTCTCGGTTTGGAACAAAAGAAAACCCGATAAAGTAAATAAATCTGTATCTTAATTCTATTCTCTATTAAGTCTGCGACATTCAATGTTATATCTCCATTACGATAGGTCAAAATTTGATGTCAAAATTGATGAATTTCATGAAATTTAACAAAAATGGCAGATCCCATGTTAAACAAATGGGGAATGGTGCCTTAGGGGCAACTCAAATTTTGAAATATCTATTCAGTAAAACATTTGTTAAAAATACTTTCTTAGTAGAAAATCGAATGGTTTTACATTTGACATGTTAAATGTCTCGCTTATATTATCAAAATTAGCGATACAGAGCTTTACAGTAATTTTGACCACCTTACTGACCAATATAGAATCAAGATACAGATTTATTTACTTTATCCTATTTTTTGTCCCAAGACGAGAAAATAGCCGTTCAAAAAAATATGGGGGTTAACATGTGAACCTATGTGGACTGGTCCTTAACTTTTTTTAAGGAGTATATATTGTTTCCGGCAATAACCGAACTCTGAGGTTCAAAATGGCGGAACAGTTAGTAAAGAAAGGGGATACAAGTGAAATGGTGAAAATATCGAGAGGAAACTTTTACTTATCTTTACTTTACTTATCAATTTTACAGTCTGCAATGCCGGGGGGCGTTGCATAGAAAAAATCTCGAATCTTAACGACCAGTTCAGCACCCCTTTTTATAGGTTCAGCATGTCTCATTCAAGAAATTGCTAAGATTTTACAGTTTTAGCCCTCGTAAAGATTGTATAACGACCTTCGGGCCATACCATCACAAGTGGTTGGGTCGCAATCTGCTACGTTACGCGCACGTGCGCATGCGCACATGTCTGCTGACCAGACAGAGCCACCCATACATGCACCATGAAATTTCCCACTTCTCGAGTTTTTCATCCTGTAGTGACAGCAATCGGTGTTTTCTGTGTCAGCTTCAAATGGACAAGGAAACTCTACAATATTAAAAGCATTTCAATTAAGGAAGGCACTTACCAAGAGGGACGCAGTTTACAACCGACGCATCCAAAGTCACATAACGCAATTAATTCATATCTCAGGATCTTTCAAGAGTGTAAAACATGTACAGTACCGTGGCATCGTTGTTATTCGTAATATTTTCAATGAAAGTTTATCACGGGCTTTCGAGATGTACTAACATTAAGCTCAATGATATCTCACATCAAGTGATTTAGTTTTTTTATTCATTCTCCAAATATTCTCCCAAAGAGGATTGGAAGCCAAAATTTAAACTCGATATTGTGTTGCCTGGTAACACTTTTTCTGTAAAGTTCATATTGGCACCAATTATCTAGTCTATTTTATAATATTGTTTACGAATATTATAGTAATATCCAACTTCTATGACAGTGCTATTCTTCAATATATGGGAAATAGTGTTACCAAGTTGCTCCGTGCAAGGCAACAGAATATCGGCCAATATCGGGTTTGATTTTTGGCTGCCAATCCTCCTTGTGTTCTCCAATACTTTGCTTTTAATGAACGCCTTCTTCATTTAACACTACGTGTAGCTTACCTTTGAAAAATGGTTCAATTTGATTTTGGGCAACCACACCCGCAATCAGGACACATAATAAGATGAGGCCTTGCATCACAATTATCTGAAATTCACGTTGAAAAATATTTAATAATAGCTCAAGCCCATCATAAAACATGTATCAGTGTCCTTGGTAGTCGACTTCCTCAAAATAATTTCAATAACAGGGAGGTTAAAAATGAACGTGTAGAATTATGGTCCCCTGTGGATTACTTCTCACATGAGTACTGTTTACTTGGCCGATTGAGGTATACGGAAAATAGTATACACTCACGTACAGATTTTCCTTAAAACGTGTAACTTAGCTTCCTTCTCAATCATGTATTTGAACGTCACGCAGTCAATAGGGAGTTTAAGCTTGCAATGTTTTTCACAACCTAAACGTGAACGGAAAATATTTAAGCGATCCCTTTGTATGGGCGATATGCAAGCTTAAACTCCCTAATACTATGGCTAAACTTTACGTTCTTCCTTTGAGCTGGGTGTGCGTTCCGGTTTTGTATTAGATGTACATCCACCTTAATATCATGTTATAAGAATTTTGCTTTCACTCTAATGAACAGAATTAAAATTATTATACAATTCGCGTATCCCGTTCTAGAATCCAAGTTCCCATCAGCGTATATAAAACAGTTGCTATTCATTCTTTTTTGCAAGAACAGTTTCACTACTTCAAAAGGGAGGCCATTTTCACGATATAGCGGAATAAAGTTTAACGTATACTCATGTTTGTAAATAAATGTATGGTAGAATACTAGAACAATGTCGTTATAATGTTACTTCTTTACAACAAGCTAAATCTAACTTTTCAGATTTGATATTTTCAGATACGCTACTAACCTTATTATTCCGTTTATAATCCTTCGTTTGTGAAAAGTCCCGGGTGAAAAGTGGACGATGACACACAAATTATCGTGAGTAAGAATAGATCGTGGGAGGAAAATGGTTAAATTGCTCAAGGACCTGTTTAGACTTGTAATTATTTAAAATATAATTAAGACACAGACTAACTGCTACTACTAATGGCTAACCGCTAAACAACTTAGGTCGTTACAATATCGATCTGTGCTGTTTGCATACACTAGGGTCAAGACATATATAACGTGACCTCAGTTGAGATACATTGTCATTCCAATACTTTACGATTTCAGTTCTACTCAATAGAATTCACGGGCGCTTTTAATATTGGCATCGGCTTGCGATTCTGCATCCTGGCGTGGGGGCATTTTTCAATCAAGTTAGCGAAACTTTTTTTTAAATATACCAGGTTTTTTCTACAAAATTAAACGTCACTTACATTATTTCGTATGAAATAAAGTATTTGATAACTTTACTTAATCTGCTGGACAATTAAGAAATTATTTTTGGGGATAATTCCCTTCTTAACATTTGAGATCGGAAAGTACTTTCACCAAAGAAGGAGGAGTATTTAAAAGAAGTTTATAACTTTGGAAAGAAGTTAAAGGGTTAAATAGAACGACTCACAATATCGTCCATTAATGCAACCTTTATCACAAAATGAGTCAAAGTAAGTCAATATACAGAGATTTTTTCCAAGACCCAAGCATTTAGATTGTTTGAAATAAATAACAAATCAATAAGAAGATTGACCGTCGGAAAAAGCACCATTTTGACAAAAAATTCCTTAGCTCAAAAAAACATGTAGGAGTAGGGTTCATAGATGTGTGTATTCGGCTCACATGGTGCATTGATTCCAGGCGAAGTGAAGACAGCATTATTGACCTCAAAACCTCATCGGTATATCTCCCATATTATTTTTTCCGCAACATTTTAAATTTTCCCAAAAGGTTATACATATCCATGGTGGGCCAATAAAAAATTACTCAATTTTCACAAAAATTCAAATAATTGTTAAACGATTATTTGTGAAAATGTTAAAGATAAAAATATGTATATGTACATTTATATTTAGCTTGTCATGGTCATGATCTGTATTCTACATGTGTCATGAAAATTTCCAAATGTCTCTGCTTGAGACATCACTGCTGAAAATATAGTATCTTTCATACCATTATGTACCCTTAAAATGGTCTCGACACAATTCCATCAATTAAAACATATGTAATTATCTCTACGAGAAGCTAGACATATTGTCTCCTTGGATAATGTAGCGTAACTGACCTCAGCTTTTTTCAAAACTGGCAGAATATGTTTCAAAACTTATCATTACGTATGACTGTCAAATACATCTCAGAGTGATTGTTCAGGTGGGTGGAGGACGTGTTCGGGAAACCCTTACGTTGAGTAATTAAATGTTGAGCTTGTATTTTCATATTTACACAAGCAGTTGACAATGAATTGTTTTTCATTTTCCTAAAGTATCCAAGATAATACATGACCAACAAAAAGTTACAAAGAATGGAAAAAATGTTCCAATATTTTTTGGCCATATTTGTTGATTTTAATTATGCGGATCGCAGCAATATAATTGGATTTCGTTCGTCTGTCCGTCTGTCAACAATAGTAGCACGATTTAAAATCCAAGTCGATTAGAATTCCCGTTTAAAATTATTTTTGTTCATTATAATTAGAGGTACACGTAAACCTCCAATGACACTTGGTTCAAATGCTCACCTATTTTTAAAGTTGCCGCCATTTTTTGTCGCAAATTGAACCAATAATTCCAGAGTTATTGCTCAAAAACTGAATTTTCTGCAACAAAAATGGTGGCCATTTTAATTTTTGTCGAATATGGGCTTGGTAGAGAGCATTTTGGAGATGTTAAAGCAAATCCAAACAATAATTCTTAAGCTTATATCTCCAAAGGGGATTTTCTTGGACAAAAGGGGCGACCATTTTGAAGACTTTAATAGCTTAATAAATTTGTAATAAGCATATACCTGTACTATGTATCTTAATGCAACAATAGCTGGGTTTATAGCTCCTATATGAATTTTCCCCGACAAAAAAATGGCGGCAATTTTGAATATAGGTAACCTTTTGAGCCAGGAGTCCTTATGGGTTTTCCTTTATTGATAATGAACAGAAATGATTTAAACCGGAAATTCTATCAACAAAAGCTAAAAACAATAGACGTTTAAGACCCCATGTAAAGTTTGAAAATATGTTTTTATCATCCATTTACAGTTTTTCTTTAATGCTTTTTTAAAAAAATTTGAGAAACAAATTTTGAAAAAAAAAATTTTGAAAAACATTTTTTTTCTCTTTGTCAATCTTTTCTTAATTTGCTAAACTTAAAAATAAACTTCAAAAAAGTTTCATCAACAAACTTTGATATTAAGCATTGGGCAAGACTATACAATATAAGCCATTTGAAAAAATGTAGCTATACCTTAAAGGCCAGGTTTCCATGCCATATGGTTGAGTTCAGCCCACCTCATTAATACCCATAAATGACTAGCCAATCAAGTGAAAGATCATGTTACCATACACTGCATATGGTAAATTTGCCAGAATGTTTATAAACACAAGCACATGTATCTAGAGTTAATCATTGCAAATGATTTGATTCTATATAGTAAATAATATCTCAAGTACACGAAAAAGCATTTTTCTGTTTATATACATTTGCCATACAAAGCAAGTTCAAAGGTCAACATGTGTTAAAAAAATAAAGTCATTTCTTACTGTTAACAAGCATAATGATAATTGATTCCAATGTTCAAATGCAGTTGTTTCATAATGTTTCAAAGAGTTACGTTTTATTTATGTTCCTATTCATTCCAATATTTATTACTATATGTAGCCTGGTGGAAATTAAATGTATTGATTCCAAATATTGTTCATTGTTAAGGTTCATATATTTATTACTCCCACATGTGCCCCATGTAGTCTACACCTTCAGGATTAGGGTACCATTGCCTCACAACGCGTATAACACAGTTAGGCATCAGCTCTCTTTTATGTCCACGGGGACTAACTGCTACTAATCCCTGATATCTTGGATGAGACTGCAAAGCCAATTGTTTTCGGGCAATATATATTGGAATGTTCCATATGCCTCGATTAGATAGGATACTCCAAAAGGATCTGAATAGTTCCTTCCTAAATGTGTGGTTATGCGCTGTCGGAGGACTGTCGCTCTCTGGCCACCACATTTGACGATTGTCATCATGGGTGATGCATGGCCTACACAGACAATGTACACATGCACCTTCTAAATCAGGTTCATTGTCACTTGGTGGATCTTCTGGGTCAGGGGCTCTAGCACTAACGTTATCTGTGTTTTCTGAGTATGTAATTGAATTCAGAATGTCATCAGGTTTAGGATTTTTCCACTCCCATTTGTTGGATGCAAAATACATTTTGAGCTTTCTTTCTTGGTCATCATTAACCCATAAGGATACTATTTTCTTTTTTCTTTTTGAGGTTGCCATGTTTTTTTGGAAATAACCAGCTGTGTGTAAGTGTTACTAAAACAAGTACAAGAACTCCAGAAACAATTCCAGAAAAAGTGGGACCAGTCATTTTCTTTTATCTCAGTATCTGAACTAATTGATATTTTACCCTTGTTAGACATGGAATGAGAATACACACAATGACAGGTCCCTAATTCAGTATAATGCCTTGAGGATTGAACTTTTCACTGTCCAATTGGGGGAAATACCAAAATCAGTAAATGAAATAATTTTTTTATGATCCAATATAGTGTACAGAGTAAGATTTTGAAACATGGATATGATCCCTTCAACTGCAGATTAGATATTTTTGAAATAGACATCCCTGGCATTTCTCAAGGGACACATTATTCTTGGATCTGATGAGATCCACAGAGTGATTCAAAATTTGAATCTAGAATTTCACTTGATCTTGTCAATAACTATCTGTCATGTGAACATTGAACTTCTGAAAATTAGATTTTAATTGTAACTCCCTCCAATGTTGCAGCATGATTTCCTTTGGTCTGCTAGAGATAGGCCAAACATAATTGAGGGAAGAACCATTTAGATATTATCTCTCACTTAGCTCTTGTGTATCCTAGGTATAAATCTAACTAGATAGTAATCAAATGCCCCCTCCCTCAAGAACTCATGGCTATCAAGAGAAATCAAGTACTATTTGATTCAATGTAGCCAGTTTCATTATCAATATACTCCTTATTGAATAGAACCAAAGTCTGACTAGAAATAGAAATGACAAGTGTAAAACGCAATAGAAAACCAAAGTTTCAATTAGAAATGCCTGGTGATGAAGGTGCTAAGACAAGGGTTCTGGAAAAAGTAAGAAAAATGAAGCAGTTAATTAGCAGAGAAGTAATAGCAAACAACACAGAAACAATAGAGACTGCAATTGATTTCTGGCTAATGAACAACACTCCAGGTGAATCGTCTAATGAGGCATCCAAGAATGAGCCCATTCAAGAATACTTATCAGTAGATAGAGAAAATGTGCATGAGCCTATGTTTTTTACAACCAAGTCTGCAGTGCAGAGACTCGTAGATCATGCTTCAGCACATAGAGCCATGTGTAATAATCAGCTATACTGGTCTGACTATCAACAATACGGCCATGCAGTTACAGTTGAGTGGCATTGTGATGCCAAACATACAATCAGATGGAAATCTTCACCTTCTCTTCCGAATGGTCAAAGTTTAGTAAATTGCAGATTTTTTCATGGTTACATAACATCAGGTATGCTTCCAAGTCAATATGACAGCCTCACAAAAACATCACAATTTGGGCATATAGGAAAACAAAAACTGCAAACTATGACACAAGAATTCGCATCTCATATTAAAATTGAAGCTTTAGAATCTTGCAGAATTGCCCTTGAAGAAGAGAAGGAAAAAACAAGGCCCCTTGATGATGGTATAGGAATAATGACTGATGCCCGTCACGGATGGAGGAAGAATGCCAATGATTGTGATGTCATTTGTATAGGACTCGAAAGTCACAAAGTTTTGAGAGCAGAACATGTGACAAAGCAAGACGACCCTATTTCACAAAGGCATGAAAAGATCGGAACAGACAGAATATATACACATTTTGATGAAAGTGATGTGAAAGTGAAAGTACATGCACATGATGCTAATCAAACAATCAATAAACTTGTAAGAGAACGTCTTGGTAATACCAAAAATCAAAACGACACTTGGCACGGGGGAAAATCGGCAAAGAAAGAAATCGAAAAAGTCGCAAAAGGACCTCGTTACAGTCATGGTATCTCATGGCACATGGAACTGTCTGACAAGGTTGAACCAATTAAAAAACAGTACCATTGGGCAATGCGAAATTGCAACAATGACCCTGAAGTTTTAAAAAACATTCTTGATAACATCGTTGAACATTATAAAGATAACCATCAAAATTGTAACATAAACTCTAGTTGCAAAGAGGATAATTATCAACTCAATTACCTGAAAATTCAGACACCAATTGCAGAGGAACTTTTAAAGAAATCAATTAGGAAAACAATAGTGTATAGACAAGCACAAAATTATACAGACGCACTTGACACGTTTTACGTTGAAAGTTACAACAATGTTTTGAATGTGTTTCATGATAAGAGAATTGCCTTTGGAAATGTGCAGTATGAACTGAGGACAGATCTTACCACACTACACTGGAACGAAAACGTAGACAGGGATTTTACAAGTATTTGGACTAAAGATGTTGCTCCTGGAAAGACATTACGTAAAAAGATTTTAAAACCCCCAACAACAAATTACAAGCAATTAATCTGGGATAAAGTACTAAATATGATCTTTACATAATTATGACCCTATGACATTGGATTTATAGCAAACATTTGAATAAGTGGAATTATAATTATATACCTGAATTAACCTGTATACATGATGGGGATATGTAATGTGAAGAAAATACAAGTGGGGAGGTAAGTTTGTACTTTATACTTTTTCTGGTTAGTGCAAATAACTACAGCTGAGCTATCTTTGCTTTCTTAGAATAACACCATGTGCTTGTGTTTGTAAATATCACATGACAAATTTATAGAGTCCTCATTGGTCAGATATTTAAATCCCTGCCTAGTAACTCCTCCCTTAAAACCAGTACATTTTCAAATAAAAAGGCTTAATTATACAAAATGAAGTGATATTTTGAATTAAAAGAAGCAAGATATTGAATTAACATATGTTCATGCTGAACTGTGACAAAAAGTAGCAAAAACTGTTCAGTAGTTTTCAAGTTATCAGGGAAAAACAAAATAAAACCTATGGAGCTCTGATTTTCAAAATTATCAAATCATCATATGATGTAATTCCTAACTGCCACTGGCCTTTTATACCCGACCCTGGCCTTTAAAGCATTTGTCAAGTAGTCTGGATCCTTGAACATTTGTAACATTATCAATTAACGAATTAAGATTCAGAAATATCATGTGACGAGAAAAAAACTAAAATTCGTGATTGTGTTATATAGATTCATATTTTATATTGATATTCGGGTTAAAAGAGTATTCCAATGTGTAAACATGTATATGAATATGTATACAATTACCGGCGATCAAATGCGACTGAGGCATATGTAGCCAGGTCTAGGCTATCAAGTAATTTATTACTGAAAATAAAACAAGGTTTACATTGAGAAGCATTTGCGTGTGAGAAGTATTTACATCTGGAAAGTATTTACATCTGAGAAGTATTCACATCTGATAAGTATTCACATCTGATAAGTATTTACATGTGATAAGTTTCTACATCTGAAAAGTATTTATTTACATCTGAGAAGCATTTACATCTGAGAAGTATTCACATCTGGGAAGTATTTACATCTGAGAAGTCTTTGCATCTAAGAACTAAGAAGTATCGCCCAATCGTGGACGTGGCAAAAGCACAAAGCAGTTACCTCGTCAATAATAATACATATATTGCCAATTGTATAGTTTCTAAATAGCTGAAAAATGCTTACATAATAGATGTCACCCTTGCTTGTCTTTGATTTTCTAGGGCCAGACCTCCACTCAATTCAATGCTAGAAACTTGCAATAGTCACTTAATTTCATGAATTATCAAAAAGTGTTGGTTGAATCTGTCTGAAATTCGAATGGAATACTATTGGATGGCCCTATCAGTGTACATATTGTGATTAAACATTAAAATATTGGTTGTCATACGTATAAATCAAGGTTTTAATGAATTTCAGCATTGCACCAATGAAGATTTGGCCCAAGTTTTTTTTAAATGTCATGGAAAATGATTTAAATGACATAACTGTGTAAATCAAAGCTATAATTGGAGAAAATTTGTCACTGAATCCAAATATGCTATCAAAAATAAAGAAAAGTAATTCATTAGAGGGAAAAGTGCAGATCTCTTAAAATCTCATGTAAAACGAGAATTAGCGAGATTTCAAAGCTATTTAGAAACTCTTCTATTGTAACACGATTACAACAGATCAAATAATATCACCAAGATAGCAGTTTTTAACATTGAAAACAGTATCATGTCGTTCATTTTTTTGTGACAGGATTTGAACCTATTTCAAATGTTTTTGAATGAGTTGAACAATCCATGGTCAGACAGTTTATTGCGCAGTCTACGTCATACCCCAACAACTGCGGATATGTCGATTCATACTATCTGAAATTACACATAGACACTGAACGACCTCCACGACCTTATTTTTCCCTTCCTCCTTCCTGGTTTTTCTCTGCCACTTCTTCCACTTTCTCCCAAGTTTTCCCGAAACCTCGTTTTTAGTTTAGAATCATCCGACCATGGACCAGTGGTCACGAATCCAGGATTATTTAAACCAACAGGGGTGTATCCAGACTTTTCATTTAAAAATCCGTATCTTTCAGGATTTGTAAATTTTGAACTTGAATGAAAGCCGTGATCGTCATGAAATTCACCTCTGAATGTCGGTTCGTTTCGGTTTATATTGACAATTGACCATCTTGTAAGGTAAGGTGTGCTGTTGCTAGGTAACGTATTTGATCTTCTCACTGGTGTCCACGAAGGGCTAACACTTTGCTGTGCTTTACCGGTGGACCGTAACGGATTCATAGTAGACTTAGATTTTTGAGTCTCAAAACTGTCGTAAAGATTAGTGCGTCCCATGGAAGCTGCATTTTTTCTTAATGTCTTTGTTTCAGGAATGGCATTACTGTTTGCGGGAACGAGGTCTTTTCGTATTGGCGTTGGATCATATCGAATCGGTGTTGTGTTGAACATAATTGGAGTGGTGTTTATGTTACTGGACGTCATTGCTGGAAGAGTGCTTGACCTTTGAGCTCCTGAATATGTTGGTGACTTAAAGGATCTGTTTATTGGGGTAGTGGCCAAATGGCTCGATGCGTTGTCAGGAACGGAGTCATAATTGTTAGGTGTGTCATATTGTATAATTGTGTTAAATCTTAAAGGAGGCATTGTATTTGACTTTTGTATACCCGATTTCATCGCTGATTTCGGAATGTTCCTGTTTAAAGATCCTTGATTCATCGTCGGTAAGGTACTGGACCTTTGTGAATCGAACCGATCTTGATTCGAACGCCCGATCGTAGACCTAGCATACCGTTGGTTATATCTCAAAGGGGGTAACGTGTTAGAGCGTTTGACGCTTGGGAGTTGGAACTGCCTCCTCTCCCTGTATTCAACTGTGTATAGTCCTCCTTGACCATCGGGAACAGGGACTAGGATATCGGGTTCATCCCAGCACCCTTTCAACATAGTTCCCTCCTCAGGCGCTATCCGAGGCGGGTTGTTTTGGCATAATGTGTGTGACACACTCGGTATGATTTCCAGTTTCGGCGTCTGAGGCTGATAATTCGTTGTTATATGGGCCACTGTTAGGTCGTTCTCGTCTCTGATCGTGTCGGTTGAAGCGATGGAGAAATTGTCCTAGAATTAAGAAAAATATATAATATCAGTTATAAAATGCATTGTTCGATCACTACCCATCATATGCATGATGGATATCAGTTTCAGTTTTTTCAAATTTGTTTCCCTTTGTGAGATTAATGTCACTTTCCAACTTTTGATATACAGTATATCATAATATGAATATCATAATATCAATATAATTATCATAATATTAATTGGATTATTAAATAAAATAAGTAAATAATTTGTATACATGAATAACTAACCAAAACGTGTTAATAATAACACCGGAACATCATGACAACGGCAACGGCAGATCCCATTGTCACAAATGGCGGACGAAAGTTCGTGTTCGATTCGATTTACTTCCATTGCTTGTTAATAGAGCAATGCCATCTAGATTGAATTCCTTTGGTAACAATCAATAAAATTGTCTTTCTACTAATAGAGGGTTAAATATGTCTAAATAAGTTTATTGGTTAAAATGTGCCACTTCACCACAAAATGTATTATCGTTTGCTGATATCCTCGTCTGTTTTTTAGTTTAGTTGTCGCATTTGATGATTTGGAAAAAGGAATAATGTGACGATTCATAAACACATTTGAACGAAATTAGGATTTCATAGATTATACCTCAAGAGCTAAATACTTATACAAAACTAGCGCCGATAGTGACCCACGAAATGAGAACGAACCAATTGAAGAATTGAATCCCTAACCGAGATTTCAACGGTTAGCCTTTCAATGTCCGCCATTTATGACAACGGTATCTGACCTTAACGTTGTCGGTGTGTTTAGGCTAGGCAAATGGAAGTTTAACATCCCAAAAATTGCAACAGTTTTTAAATTAGGCTTATATTGTATATTGATACCAGTTGAAAAACATATCAAAAATATAGAAAAATATATGCAGTGGACAAATATGAAATGTCACATTCCAGGTACCCCCTGGCCATCAAATAGCCCGAATTTAATATAACAATGTATTTATTTCTGTATCAATTCATCAGAATTGCATGAAAAATATCTAGGAGGGTATTGTACACCTGAACATTGTCTTTGATAAGTATCAGGGTCATTAAATGAATATTGAGCGTGAAAATAATATTTGAAATTTCAATATTTTACCACATCCACTTTTGGGGTGACCTTACTTTTGTTTAATTACTTCCAAGGTATGTCATATTTGAACTCAATAGCACAACTAAATTATTTGTAAAGGCTTATTTTGTCCCGAAAACAGTTTTTTGACGTTTTCAGAAAAGGATTATGCAAAAAAAAGTAGAAAAACAGCAAATGCCAGGTGAAATATAGGGGAAGCCCTACTTTTAGTTGATAACTGTTAAATTATCAAATGTTTTCTCCTTTTAAATTCAATTTGATATATAATATACCTTTTCTGATAAAACAGAGAACGATTTGTTACAATCAGTGGTCAAAAAATGTCCTTGAAAAGGCAACAAAATGTTAAATATCCCTGTCACTGACATCAGTTTATTAATATGAGCCAAAAAAGGTAACCCAACCAAATGTTTGTTAATAACCAAGTCATTCAGCATGGGTTTGACATCATAATTAGCACAATTACCTTGTTCAATGTTCTTTCATTCTACTAAGTGTCATTGATCTATCCTTAATAGTCACGATTTTATGGCCATTTACAAAATGTGCTCAAAATATCGAAATGTGCCTAACTGACTGGACATCAATACCACCAGTTTTTTTTATCTGTGGACCTTTTTTCGATACTAACAACACTTGAAACATTAAAACAAGAGATAAGAATGAAGATGAGAGTCATAACACATGATTTTTATGCTCCTGATTTGAACAACACGATACGTTCAAGTTGGCCTCCAGGAATGACACCCATATTTCATGGCATGGTATAAAATGGCCATAAAATCTTGACCACTAGAGACCACTGGGACTGGGTAGATTGATAATACATTGACCAAGACTCAATTCTGCCAAATATGACACTAAATCCATGCAGGATGATTGGACTGGATTATTAAGATTTGTTTGGGTTACCTTTTTGGCTCGCCCTGTATTAAGGAAAAATTGTTACTTTTGAATAAGGTGTTCTTAACCACACAGTGATATTGAGAAATGAAATGAAGAAGTTCAACTGAAGAATGTTCCATTTCAAGATGAAATTCAATAAAAAATGAGCCAAAGGTTTCTACATTAATAAATCCTCTTGAGTTAACTAGTGTAACGCAAAGTAAATCCCTGGTCTTTATACAGGGCCTGGTTCGATTATGTTATGTTCATTATCGAAAATGCTGCCTTAATTTTGTAATCTTAACCTTCATATATGTGTCTTACTTATAGAGAGCAAAAAAGAATGCTGATTAAATAAGCTTAATACTATTATGTTTTAACAACAATCAGTTACAACCTTGTCTATCACCAGCCTTCATCAGGGGCGGATATGGGAACCAACAAGGGGGGGGGGCAAATGTCAGGTCTGAGAAGAAAACTTCCGCGGAAAAAAATTTGGGCCCCTAAAACCCTGAAGTGGGCCCAAATTTTGAAATATTGAGACCCATTTTCTTCAATTAAAAAATAAGGCTTTAAATGGCCCATTTATGACCAAAAAGGCCTACTTTTCGGGGCCTTAAGGCCTTTTTTGGGCCCAATCTTTTTTTAGTCATCATTATTCTCATGATCAGTAATGGAGGTATTTGCACAAATGCCTTTGCATACCTTTTTCATTTTTCTACAAGAACATCTCATATAAATACAATCTGCCTTACACACACAATGGATGATCTCTGAGAAAGGGGAGCTGCATTTAGGCAATTGGTCAGGTACATAGTTTCGTTGCCTATTTCCCAGCCCAATTATAATGGAGGCAGTTTATTTCCCTCCCACTCCTGGATCTGATGGTACACTCTGTAACTGTGGTATTCCGCAGCATCAGATAATGGAGGAAGAACACGGGGCTGCAATAATTCAGATCCTGCTGCTCTCTTTTAATAGAATTTTAGAAGCCTAAGATAATTTAGGGTTTCACCATTTTTCCACCATAAATTGACAAAAGAGCATGTTCCTCTGCAATGACAGAGTTGCTTGCATTTCACTGGTTTTCTACTTGTTTACGTTGTAACAGAATGTCGGAACATCGAAGGTTTGATTTTTCTTTTTTCTTTATTTCACACATTGTAGGCAGAATTCCCACAACATTGTTATCACAAACATGTATCAGTATTATATGTTTAAAAATGTACATATTTGCGAACAAATAGTTCAGAAGACAACAGAATCTTCGATTTGATTCCTCACTTAAGTTACATAAACGGTATTTCGATAAACAATTAAGATCTGCACTTTTAACCCAAACTGTTTATTTAACTTAAATAAGGAATTAAATCAACAATTCTGTGAGAAAAAAACATCGTGGGGATTCTGCCTACAACGCGTGAAAAAAAGGAAAAAAGAAATATCGTACTTTCGACGTTTAGACATTTTGTTACCGAAACGACAAGCGTAATCGAGCGGATCACCAGTGCTTTTGGTAATTTAAAAACAACCGCTTGTTTTCTCAAGAACTCACTCTTTTTTATCTGCCTCAATGATAGACTCTTGTCTATGCCATATATAACCTGAATGCGATGTCACACCCCAGAAAAGAAACAAAATATCGTCACAGACCACTTTTCCCAAAGACAATCTTATTTCATTTATATTCCAACATTTTGTTTCTTGGGTTGCTGCTTTTGGTTCAGGTTTGAAGAAAATGTTGAAGTTTGTGTTTTGTGCATGATAAATGAGAAGCACAAGGAGATCTGTATGAGTACTGTATTTGAGGTTTGGACACTTTGGATTGCAGTTTTCACAATCACAATATCTGCATCCGATTCTGAATGCAGCGCATGTACACTCAATGTTTTCCAACCTGACAGACAGAATTACCATCATTCCTATGCACTGAAATTATATTAATGAAAGACTCCCCAGATATCTGAGATTTTAATGTTCTCTGTCGGTTTAAATTCCGTTTAATAACCATAAATTCGTTTCTACAGCATTATACATCCAATTGATAGTTCCATAGTAATGTACTCTTATGTAATGATTTATTTATCTGATGAATTTAAATATATGCAAATTTTGTAATTGCGGATTGTAATTAATAATTTAAACAATATTAAATTCCACAAAAACTACAACTTACATTATTTAGATAAGCCTAGTATAGAGCAGTTATCAAATACCCTAATATCAGAGTGGTGATATGTAATTAATCATCAAATAAAAGTGAGGTCACCTTAACATTTCACCTGGTGCAACTAATAATTCCTATTTTTCATACTAATAAGGTATAAACCTTCACAAAACTTGTATTTTAGATGATGACAAGGCTATATAAATGATTTAGATCTCAACTCTAATACAAATGTGATGCACTGTGGGAGTTAATCATCAAAACTATAGCCTCCCTTATAGTGGGCGGGGCAAAACTATGAAAATGAAATATTTTTTTTCTTATTAAGTATACACCTTAGAATTCTGACACTCACCAAATATGAAGTTCATATGAATATGTAACACCATAATTTTTTTCATGCTTTTCTGACTAACTGATCCTAAAATATCTAAATAGATATGTGATAACATGCCTGTTTTGTGGCCTATTTTGTTATACTTTGGAGTCAAATGACTACAATTACTGGTCTCAAAATTGATTAAAATGATATTTTAATTATTTGTGAATGTGTGATCTATCATAATAAAGCTTGAATACTTGACTAAAGTATTCCATTTGGGAAGAAAAAATTGTTTCCTACCAATACTCAATTTTGGGGTAGGGTTGTAGGGGGTAACTAGGAAGTGAAATTTCATATTTGTCCACTGCATACATTTTTCTATATTTTTGATATGTTTTTCAACTGATATTAATACATAATATAAGACTAATTTAAAAACTGTTGCAATTTTTGGGATGTTTGGGCCTTTTATGAGCCCATTTGCTTGGCCTAGTTCCGATGTGTTAATGTTATTGCTAGAATAAGAGTGTGCAAATGGAGAGATTAGAATGGTTTTAGTTGAAATCTACCTAAAATAGGTGCAAACTACCCCACACCAGTTTTTGTCATATACTTTGATCCATTGTCACCGTGGCCAGGTTAGATATTTTAGTTGCTCGGTTTTATTTGCACAGTATTCAGTCTGGCATAGTGCATACCGGGAAATATTCGATCATTGAATAATGCCTTGGTCACATTTGCTCCGATTTTCACTAAGGCGCCCAACCGATTGAGTATTTTATTCAAAATTGAATATATTGAACAAATGCACTCAGTCGGCCAGGCGCCGGTCGATGGATCGGAGCAAATGTGACCCAGGCATAAGTATCAAAGGCAAAAATACATCCCTTTGCGCAAAGGTTAAGGTCTCAATTGCAAAATGTACTATCGAAAAAATCGTGGATGGTCAAGTTGACCCCCTCCGTTGAAGACATTAGGGTTTGAGTTTCATGTTATTTGAAATAATAGAAGTTAGTTAAAACAAGAAAAACACGCATATCTTGATCGATGACATATAATGATATAAAATAACTAACACTAAACGATTTAAGCCCATTGCTCGAATATCATGGACGTATGTCTTGTATCAGAACATTGATAATGGCAGTAGCCCAACGTGAAAGGCTATCAGGCCCGTAGCTAGGGGGGTTCGAGGGGTTCGGGCAAATCCCTCCCCCCCCCCCGGCCACTATTCCTTCTGAGAATTTATCATGTGATTTTGGGCCAAATTTGTCAAAGTGAAGCCCCCTGGATTTTTTCTGAAAAGTGAACCCCCTTGACAAAAGCGGGCTACGGGCCTGGGCTATGATACAAGACTACAAGACATCCACAATTCATACAGAAATGGTTTAAATTCTTTTGCAGAAGATTGTGTAAAATTCTCTGATTTTTTTAGCAAAAGATTGTGTCACCTATTACTAACTATGTCTGCATTAACGATGTTTTTACCCTCTCAGCATCTTATGCATTATATGTTACATTGTTACCTGTGTTACTATGCGCACTGTTAGTCATCCACCAGAGGATTGAAAAGTCGCTTACCAAATATTACCTTATAACCTGTTTTTTCTCGTAGAAGATCCTCAAGATATTGCAGAGTAAATGTTGTTGTATTTTGTGATCCTCCATCCACCATACAACCTCTTCCTAACAGAGTATTTCCAGTTATCATGGCAACCATGACGCAAAAACCAATGGCGTGTGTTATCCAGTAACTTAACTGTGCATTGTTGGGAAATATGTACTCGTCATACAACATCCAATACCCCCTCCACAGCAGAATTGGCCCTAAGGATGCGACAATTGAATAGGAATCTTCGAACAGCAATCTGATCATCAAAGGTTTGTTCCTCAACGTATCCCAGGCGCGCGCCGCGGGAAACTGCGCGGGGATCATCGCTATGGTAACCAGGTAACCAAGAGCGAAAGAAGTCATTGCGGATAGAAACACATCCCGGGGGAAGAGGAAAATATCTAGAAACATCCACATTCCCCGCCAATAAACGACAACGAGGCTGTGAATTACAACTGTAGTTAGCAGAACGTCTAATATATGGCGCCACCAGTTGGATTCATACTGAAAAGGTCAATGTAAAATGGAAGAATATCATTGAGAATTTCTTGTCACCGATATCAAATGTAGGGAATGTTGTATTTAATAAACAACGCTTTTTACCAGCCAGTAACAGTTACATCATTTGTACTCTTACATAGTATTTTTGTCAAATTGAGCAAAACTGCCTATCTACAGTATATACACACCGGAATACCTGGACAACGGTAAAGTCTCATTCGGTCTTACTCGTTCATTAATTAATAGAATGGTAAATTGAATTGAATTGAGTTTAATTTAAGTCTCCAGATTGAAGCTGAGTAAGCAGTTGAGTACGAGTAAGTAGTGGAGTGGATTGCTGAGTAAGTAACTGAGTAAATATAAGTACCTGAGTAGTAAGTAGGTAGCTGAGTAGTGAGTACGTAGCTGACTTAACCCATGACTTAACATTTAGATACTATATTGATTTTTCGAAAGGACCTTATACACCCTCCATTGGGATCTCCCCATGGGAAAAAAAAATTCATCTGATTTTTCAAAATGAGTATTCTGCTTCAATTATTACATTTATATGCACACTAGTATCTTGTTGACCTATATTCAGCACTGTATTGATGTATAGGCCACTTATTAGGGTCATAATTCAATCATGAAGTGTAGAGGCATAGATTCCAAACCAGGAAGTATTTTTGTGTCTGTCAAAATCCATTTACATCCTACGCATCCCTGCATCTTATCCAAATATGTTACTACATAATGATTTATAATAGTATAATCTTTGGTTTTACAAACTTGTATGATATTTGATAAGTGTAAAAGTTGTTTTTGGAGCATTTTTCTATAGCCATTTTGTAGGGAAAAAAATGATGAAAAAATGTACAATCTTTTAATTTTAAGTATGACCTGAATCGATTGCAAACTTCATATTTGCACATTTGATGAGTTAAACCATTTGTGTCGTATTGTGAAATTATTAAGTTTGCAATCGATTCAGGTCATAGTGTATTTTTGGTATTTCTGTGATAATCAATGGAAACCAATGGCCTCTATTAGGATCTGCTGATATCTTCATGTTAAGTCAATGGTGCACAGCCCCATGTAAGTCAATACAACCTTACTGAACGAAATGATCCCTATCTCAGCTTATGTGTGTCCGAGCACTTTAATATTTTCTGAAGTATTATATGACATTTTATTCTTCATGTTACACCTACGAATGATTCATTTTGACCATAGGGATATTTGCCAATAATTGCACCTTGTCCTTTCAAACATACGTATCATAGAATCTAAACCGGAAGTCTGATTTTGATTGTTGATGTTTTAACTATACAATGAGTACAAAGACAATTTCATTGATTGTTGTACCAAACGAGTTCATTCTAACTGTTCTATTAAACATACAGTTCATGAAAACCTAATTGAAGCAACGGTTATCTCCGCCATTTGTGACAATGGTATTGTATTGTATTGTATAAATTCCGATCCGATCCATACATTCGTACGGGTAGGTCATCCAAAACTTGTACCATGCTCAAAAGTTTCTGATGGTTGTCCCGTTCTTTGCGTATTGTCTGAGGACGTATTTAGAGAACGAGGTAGAACTAATTGCAAATGGGTTTTAACTGATTAGGAATGTATTAAAGACTACTTATGGATGAGTTACCCTACTATCACACCAAACTAGTTCTCACTACGTTCTCGAAAACGGGCTTCAACTGTGTACGAACGAACTGGACGTATTTATAACCGTTTGGGGTCTATTTACAAACTTCATCGAACATACTTGAACGAGTAGGTCCTCTAGAACTTAGAACATGCTCAAAATGCCCTCGTAGTCGTCACGTTCTACAATTAAAACGAGTAACAACGTACTAACGACGAGCTGGACGTACTACGGACGAAACCGTCGTACCTCAATCCTACTAGGGACGTTTTTACAACGAGTTGAACTGTCTGAGGACGTATTGAGAACGAGTTAGAACTAACTGCAAACAGGTTTAAACTGATTAAGAACATATTAAAGACTGCTTATGAACGAGTAAATAATTTCTAGCAATATATGAATTCTAATTTCACTTACCCCCTATCACACCAAGCTAGTTCTTACCCGTTCTTGCCAGTCCTACGAAAACGTCGTAAAACGGGCTCAATCTGGCTGTGGTCGAGAAATATGTCTAAAATAATTAGCTATTCGTTCATAAACAGTCTTCAATGCGTCCATCTCATTCGCAGTTCGTTTAGGTCGCACCAGGTCGGTGTGCAACGTCGTATAACGCGTCCCTTAGTCTAGAAGGTCATCACGACCTGATCACAGAACGGTATGGTCGCCATCGAATTTTGAATCATTTCAAAATTCTAAAATCACCTTCCCTCTAAGAACGTTCATGAAGTTCGTAAATAGTCCTTAGAAAGTTGCAGCTACGTTCATTCCGTTCGCACACAGTTTAAAACCAGTTTTGATGAACGCAGAGCCAACTTGTTTGGTGTGATAGCTATATTTTTGCTAATTCGTTCATAAGCAGTCTTGTATACGTTCTTAATCAGTTTAAACCCGTTTGCAATTAGTTCTACCACGTTCTCAATACGTCCTCAGACAGTTCAACTCGTTGTAAAAACGTCCCTAGTAGGATTGAGGTACGACGGTTTCGTCCGTTGTACGTCCAGCTGGTCGTCAGTACGTTGTCACTCGTTCTAATTTTAGAACGTCACGACCACGAGTGCATTTTGAGCATGTTCTAAGTTCTAGAGTTTGGTTTGATAGTACGGTTAGCAAAATTATATAGCTACTGTATCACACCAAACTAGGTGCCACTGCGTTTTTTAAACGTTGCCGAACTGGTTTTAAACTGTGTGTGAACTGAATAAATGTAGCTGCAACCTTTTTCGGTCGAACTTTATGGACCAGAAGGTGATGTAGAATTTTGAATAATTTCAAAATTCGATGACAACGATACCGTTCTGTAATTAGATCGTGACAATGTACTTCAAACGAGATGACCCACTAGACAAGGAACGTAATTGCCGTACTTTAACCCTACTAGCACTGGCGGATCTTGGGTGGGCCCAGAAAAAAAATTTGTGCCCAAAAAAAATTTTGAGCCAAAAAAGGCCTAAAGGCCCCAAAAAGTAGGCCTTTTTGGTCATAAATGGGCCTTCTAAGGCCTTATTTTTTCATTTTAGGCCAAATTTTGAAGAAAATGGGCCTCAAAATTTCAAAATTTGGGCCCACTTTTGGGTTTTAGGGGCCCAAATTTTTTTCTCAAGACCAGAAGTTTGGCCCCCCCCCCCCTTGTTGGTTCCCAGATCCGCCCCTGCATGTACTCCATCTTTGTAACACCCTGTATATACCGTCGTAATAAGCCACACCTACTCCATCTTTGTGACACCCTGTATATACATGTACCATCGTGATAAGCCACACCTACTCCATCTTTGTGACACCCTGTATATACCATCGTGATAAGCCGCACATACTCCATCTCTGTCCTTCTTGACGTTTGATCATCTGCTTCGCCGCAGGAAATTAATTGCAATGAAGGTTACAGTTTAAAAAGTATCGTATTTCAAACTTGAGAAGTGGTTTTCAATACAATGATATGAAATATAAAAACAGTATTAAAACTATTAATCACCATCAACGGTGAATGAAATAAATTAGATTAATTATCATGTCTTATCTTGAAAAGTCACTTCGGACTCGATGACTTTAAAGTGTGCGCCAAAGTTTAAAACTGCGCAGGCGCAGCGCTCTCGCTAACCTATATAAAGAGATTCCAGGGTACAGGCTTCAGAGGTAAGGCAGGAAGGTGAACAACTATCGTCCCGTGTTGATTTCCCATATAATCGTAACCAGGCAAGTTTCACCATTGGAATTGAAAATGACTATTAGATATACTTTGTAGATGTTTATATATTAAGGTATTAAGTGTATGCATCAATCAAATGGCTCATTTTGAACATATAAAAAGTATTTGTGTTTTGTTTCCCAGGGAATTGTATTCCCATGTTGTACACACATAAATAGTGTACATTATGTTGTACTTGAATAGCCTGGCTTATATACTATTGAAGGGCATGCTGATTGTACACACAAGTACATGCATGAAGGCCAAATATTGATATTGCTTGCATACCTAAAGTAAAAATAAACTCTTCTAATCCCCTAATGTAAACACGGCGGTATACGTAGCCCGATTTATCGGGGGCTTTAATTAATTAAGTTTCGTAATATACAGGTACATACGTCATATAATTATAAGCATTATAGTAAAACAAGTTTTTTTACATGTCTGATGTATGTGGCGTTTTCTAATATGTCCAAAGTGATCAATGTGTTTCTTTCGCGTCACTGATATATCTTAGCCAAAATATTTTCAACTACACTTGTAAAATGCCAGTAATGAGTAAGAACTTCTTAGTTACACTATCAAATTTAAGTCCTACTTCATGTCACCCAATAACCACCTTAATTTTGTCAAGGAGTTTGTCTTGGTATAGGCGGGGGTTTAGGTATCTAGTATGGGGTAGGGTATGATCGACTTGATCATTTCTTTGCTCTTCATGGTGTTTGCAATGCAGTAATCTATGTTCAATAGTCTCAATATCAAAAGGACAGAAATCGCAGTGTGGATTATTAGATGAGTGGTTTTCCATTTTTGGGTTTCATCATTTAATTGGAACCTATCACATCTCGCGAGTTTTATTTGTGCACCTTGAAATTCAAAATTATTTTCAAGGTAACGTTGGCGTCCTTTTTTATCAAGAACTTGTCTGTGCAAAGACAGCGATGTCCTTTCAATAATTTCGTCTTTCATGTAACATTCAATTTTTTGTTCAATATGCATTCTATACTTATAGGACATGCCCCGTCCCATTTAAATCCAATGAAGTTAAAATGTTATTCATGTTTTCAACAAATTTCCCCAAATTTTGTTTACCTTTGGCTTCATAAGCACAAACTACAATGATGGCCATCCAAAATCATTTATTACTGCGATATATGCTGGTGTGATTTTCAAGCT